GGGGGGGGGGCAACAGTGGGAAGGCTTCTAGTGTCCTGGCCCCACTGCTGGACCTCCTGGTGGCACCTGGTATTTGTGGCCACTGTGTGACACAGAGTGTTGGACTAGACGGGCCACTGGCCTGATCCAACATTGGCTTCTCTTACGTTCTTATTCTGGAACAAACGTCTACAATCTCCTTAGTAAGGGTCATTGTAGAAGAGGTTCCATAAGTGTACGGAATTTGAAAACCACCAGGCTACAGAACTCCAAAAATTGATATCCCGCCATCTCATTCTCATCATGACGGTACGAAGCGCCAGAAACCAGTATGAAGCTCCAGAGACAATTTTAAATCTTTGCGTTATTTATTCCCTGTATTTTTTGGCTGTACCGTATGCTAGGACAAGTCTTTGGAACAAGAGGCAAGACACAAATAAACGTCTGGAACTCCAGAGTTCTTTCCAATATGTAACAAAAACAAACGAAGGGACTCCAACATACTGTTTGGCCGACAGATACAACTCTGATAGTTTACATCAACGGAATATATTTGTGTTTGGCTACTGGCGCTTTGCCGAAAAGGTTTGTTGCACCCGACATAAAGACAGAAAATAAAATGCATCTCGCGTTAAAGGAAATTAAAAAAATAATAATACGAAAAGGTCGATTATAGGCAAATACAAACATAGGAAGCTACATGGATACAAAAAGTTTTAAAAAACGAAATACTGCCTTGGTCAAGTCATTGAACGTGTTCAACCATCGAATAATCCACCGACTGGCAATCCTTAAAAAAACCAAAACACATTGCACAAGATCTATTCGTTCTTGGTGGACTTATTCCTTTCGTACCCGTTATGGAACCCCTTTGTACCATCCGGGCCTCTCGGTAAACGCAAGACCCCGACTGGCAACCCGACTGCGTTCTGTATTTTGGAACTCAGAACCGGGCTACCGATGGGACTTTTATCATGTGTCAGAGTTTGAGCTTGCCGCCGCCTTTGAACCCACGGACTACTGGACGGGGTGATGCTGCTGTCTGAAGAATAATCCGTGCACCTCCTCAGCATTTCGGGACTCGTGCTGAGGCTCAACCTGCCGTCTTCAGCCAGTGGAGACATCCTGGGAACTTTGCGCAACAAAGAAGGGCTGTTCCAAGGACTGGACCTCGGTGAGACGCTCGGGCTAAGGTGATTGTTCTGGTAGGTGGGGGGGCTCAACTTGTTCAAGGCACTGGTTCGGCGACCCGACATGGGCGACGTCGGGTTGCTCTCTGGCTCGGAGGAGCTGTTGGTTGAAGACTCGTCGCCAGCATACTGCAGTTCTTCCACTCTCTTGTTCATTGACCGTGTTTTGGCGAGACCCTTGTCGGGGTCTTCTTCGCGGGTCTTGTCTCTCGGAACTTTCTTCTTGGGGGGCTTCATCCCAATGAGCACGACCTTCATGTCCGTCTCGTTGTCCGCAACACACATCGACTCGTGCGCTTTTATGGCGGCGTCCACCTCTTCAAACTCCACGATGGCGCATTCCTCTGTTCCGACTTGGCTGTATCGGCTGCTGAACGTCTTGATGTCGGGCGGCAGGTCCCTACCGGGCTTGAGGATGCGAACCGAGGCGATGACCCCGAATTTGACAAACGCTTTAAGAAGATTCTCCATCATCTTCTCCTGCACGCATCCGTTCGCCTGCCTCTCGCCCTCGCGACGAAGGTCAGACGCCGGGTGGATGTCGTAGATGAGCAGCATCTTGCTGGGGAGATTCTCGCTGGCAAATACGGGAACTGGCGTGTTCCTTCGAACTTTTCTGCTGTCTTCGTTCAGCTCCAGGACTTCAGAAAATTTCAGGGCGTACGCAGTTGTTCTCCAGTCACGGGTCAGGTGCTTTACCTAGAAGAAACAGTGGCACTTTCAGGACAGCAGAAATTTAACTTTATTTACCTCCTGCCAACCTAGCAGTTCGAAAGCAAGAATTTGCAAGTAGATAAATAGGGACCACTTCGGTGGGAAGGTGACAGTGTTCCGTGCGCCTTGGTGTTTAGTCATGCCGGCCACATGACCACGGAAACGTCTTCGGACAGCGCTGGCTCTTCGGCTTTGAAATGGAGATGAGCACCGCAACCCTAGAGTCGGATTCGACTGGCCTTCGAGCAAGGGAACCTTTACCTTTTTTACCTCCAGGGGTTGTTTCCTGCCGGGGCGCCCTGGAGTGGCGCTCCGGCAGACACAAGCCCAAGCCCCCCCGGGGGGGGGGGAATTAAATGCCTGGCTTCCCAGCCCAATCTTCTCCAGGTGCCCCGCAGCCGCGGAACACCTGGAGAAGATAGAGCAGGGAAGCCAGACATGTCTCCCCGCGGGCTGACTGGAGAAGGAAGAGGAGGCGGGAGACATGCCCTCATTTCTCCCTGAGCCTCTCTGCTTTTGCGGAGAAACTCAAGGGGCGTGGCATATGCGAATTAGTTATATGCTAATGAGCTCCTGCACCTCTTTTTCTACTAAATGACCCCTGTTTACCTCACATACCCCACCTTTCTCCCCAATGGGGCTTACAGAACTTTCCTCTGCTCCATGTTATCCTCACAACAACCACCGCCATGTGAGGTTGGTGAGGCTGAGAGGGTGTGACGGGCCACAGGGTCACCCAACGAGCTTCCACGTTGCTGCATTTGTATTTATTTAAGGAAGGCCTCCCCCACTTTTCTCCCCAGTAAGAACCCAATATGGCTGACAAACGTTCTCTTCTTCTCCATTTTGTCTTCACAACAGCCCTGTGAGGCAGGCTGAGCGAACAGTGTGTGACTGCCTCAAGGTCACTCAGCAAGCCAACGTCGCAGAGCAGAAAAAGAAGAGTTTGTGTTTATACCCTGCTTTTCTCTCCCTTCAGGAGTCTCAAAGCGGCTTCCTGTTGCCTTTCCTCTCCCCAAAACAGGCACCTTGTCAGGCAGGCGGGGCTGAGAGAATTCTGAGAGAACTGGGACTGGCCCCAGGTCACCCAGCAGGCTTCACGTATCTCAAAGCAGCTTACAGTCACCTTTCCCTATCTCTCCCCCCAACAGGCACCTTGTGAGGCAGGTGGGGCTGAGAGAGCTCTGAGAGAACGGTGACTGGCCCAAGGTCGCCCAGCAGGTTTCACGGGGAGGGCGCGTGGGGAATCAAACCCAGTTCTCCAGATGAGAGTCTGCTGCTTTTAACCACGACACCACGCTGGCTCTCTCTCCCCATGCTGAGTGATTCGAATCTGGTTCTCCAAGATTCTAGTCCGACACTCTTAACCACTACACCACACTGGCTCTCTTTCCTGAAGTGGTTCAGCGCTGCCACAAGTCAGCTCTACGACGGGAGACAGCCCTAAGATTCACCAGTGGTCTCCAGCAGGAAGTAACTGCCTGTGGAAAAGCACCCGAGGGCCAAAGTTAGGGGAGTGTGTCTCCTTGTTCTCTTTTATCTACTAGAAGGCTACAGCAGGGGAAAGTGGGGACCCGCGTATAGAGATGTGAAGGCCCGGAAAAAAACCGGAAAAATTCGGGGGGGGGGGAACGTTTTTTCCCCGTTTTTTTCCTGAAGGCTTTTTGTTTTTTTCCGAAAAATTGGAAAAATTGAAAAAAGAAAAGAAAAAAAATGATTATGGAACGTTTTATTTTAACATGAGGAATAAAATATTTTAAGACAAGGTGTTCAACTATTTTCCAAATCATTTCTAAAATATATATAGATGGTATCAGATTGATCTAATTTCTGTGCACTGAAGACAAGCAAGTCCTAGGTTACAAACTGAACTCTCCAATGCAAGGACAAGATGCATTTCTTCCTTTAGGAGGTGCGATTGTCAGCAGAAAATAAAAAAGGTTTCAGTTTTGTTTTTGCATGTGGGTGGGTATTCTGTTTGGAATAATTGTTTGGATACACTATATTTTTAATATGCTAGTTGTGATACTTTCATGCCAAGTAAAAATGTCCATAGTCATATTTTATGTTCCTAAAGTAACAGAATGACTTTCAGTCTAGAAAAGACAAAAGAATTGAAAAAAAGAAAAGAAAAAAAAATGATTATGGAACGTTTTATTTTAACATGCGGAATAAAATATTTTAGGACAAGGTGTTCAACTATTTTCCAAATCATTTCTAAAATATATATAGATGGTATCAGATTGATCTAATTTCTGTGCACTGAGGACAAGCAAGTCCTAGGTTACAAACTGAACTCTCCAATGCAAGGACAAGATGCATTTCTTCCTTTAGGAGGTGCGATTGTCAGCAGAAAATAAAAAAGGTTTCAGTTTTGTTTTTGCATGTGGGTGGGTATTCTGTTTGGAATAATTGTTTGGATACACTATTTTTAATATGCTAGTTGTGATAATTTCATGCCAAGTAAAAATTTCCGTAGTCATATTTTATTTTCCTAAAGTAACAAAATGACTTTCAATCTAGAAAAGACAAAAGAAATACTAATGTAGCATTTTTTTCAATTTTTCCGAAAATGTCCGTTTCCCCCCGGAAAAAAAACGGGAAAAAAACGGGGGTTTTTCCGAGCTTCAAAATTTCTGGAAATGTTACATCTCTACCCACGTACAGGGGTCTCAATCCAGTATGGTATAGTGTTGGACTAGAATCTGGAAGACTTGGGTTAGAATCCCCACTCGTGCCGTGGAAACTCGCTGGGTGACCTTGGACCAGTCACATGATAGAATCACAGAATCGTAGAGTTGCAAGGGACCTCCAGGGTCATCTAGTCCAACCTCCTGCACAATGCAGGAAATTCACAAATACCTCCCTCACACACCCCCAGTGACCTCTAAGCTGAATTAGTGTGAGGTAGCTCACAGTTTTTAGCCTCTGGCTCACTCATTTTTTGTCCCAGCTCAGGAAGGGATGGCTCCAGCGCAAACTAATTTATGCAGCAGCCAAATCGCTCGCTCACAACTTCAATGCCAGTAAGTAGAACTTTTGCTCACAAGACCCCGCAGCTTAGAGGGAGCATTACCAGTGAGTGACCCCTGCTCCACACCCAGGAGGTGACAAACACTCCAGGATCCCCGGCCAAACTGGCCTGGAGAAAAATGGCTTCCTGACCCCAAAGTGGCGGGCAGCATTTCCCTGGGCGTGGAAGAAAGGGCCACGAGAACTAAGCACTGAGGCAACCCTTCCTGCCTTCCCTTCTCGTGATCGGCCCAAGTCCACAGGATCGGCATTGCTGTCCGATGGCCATTTGAAAACCTCCAAAGACGGAGAGCCCACCTCCTCCCGGGGAAGCCTGTTCCACTGAGGAACTGCTCTGTCAGGAAGTTCTTCCCAATGTTGAGCCGAAAACTCTACTGATTTAAATTTCAACCCGTTGGTTCTGGTCCAACCTTTTCAGCCTACTGTAACTCACAGGGTTCATACTGTGAGGACAAACGGAGGATCCGAGACTGATGTTCTCAGTCACTTTGGGCCCCCGTTGGAATGAAAAGTGAGGAAGAAATTCATAACAATTACAAACTAATAGGCCACAAGGTGGAGGTCTTGGGCAGATACGGACTCTAAGAAGAAAAAAACCTCCGCAAATGCCGCAGATCGACCCGAAGACTAGCTAACCTTTTTGAAAGAGGTCAAGAGCTTCACGCTGACGTAACCCATCTTGTTCCTCCGGACGTGCTTCAGAAGGAAGGCGTCTTTCTCGAGGTTTTCGTCCGAGAAGTAGTACTCAATCTGGGCTACCAGCTTCAAGATGAGATCTTGGTCAGGAGCGGTCCAGTTGTGGCCAAAGTCTTCCCCGTCGTTTTCACCGCCACTGGAACAAAGAAAAGAAAGGGGGACTGAATCCACCCGGCCTCTTGGATCTGCTTGCCAGCCACCTTTTCTCCAGGCAAGGAGGGGCATTCCATAAACAGTGCGATCAGATTGGGGTTGAAGAATCAACCAGAATTCTTTAAAAAGAGAACTGAAGCTCAGCCGAAGTGTTAACAGGACACATTTAATAATGCAAAACTACCCAGCACAGTCTAACTTCCCGTAAACTATAAGCAGTCGTACACAGCACAGTTCCTAATCCTTTATCTCAAGCAGGGGTCATTTCCTGCGGGAGGGCACAAGAGCGGAGCTCCGGCAGTAAAGAGCCCAGGGGGCGGGCAGATGCAACAAGCCCCGCCCCCTGCTCCCAGCAGCCCTCAGTCAGAGCAAGAAGCAGCCAGGTAAGCTGCAGAGCCCGTCCCCCCTGTCCCCGTCCAAAACAGTCCAGTGGCACCTTTAAGACCAAGTTTTATTCAGGTACAAGCTCTCCCTCTTCTGTGAGGGCAGATCTGCACGCCCCCCCCCCCGATAGCTAGCAATCCAAAACAGTCCAGTGGCGTCTGAGCGGGGGTGTTGCCTTCTGACACGCTTCCGGTGATGTCAGGGGGTGTGGCCTATGCAAATCAGTTGTGCTAAATGAGTTCCTGCACCTCTTTTTCTATGAAATGACCCCTGAGCTCAAGTAACTTCGCGAGACATTTAGTACAGTGCTTTCCTTGGTCACAGATCCAGAGGTGTTATCCGTGTTCGTCTCTTGCTGCGAAACAGTAAAATCAGAACTGGAATTTATACGTCCACTTGACTCAGCCAGACTTGGATTGAATAGCGACAATGCCTAAGAAACAAGGTGACTCTTGGATGGGGTCGTGATTACAGTGTCCCCTCTAAGCTGAGTTAGTGTGAGCTAGCTCACATTCTTTTAGCCTCCAGCTCACACATTTTTGTCTCGGCTCAGGAAGGAGGGCTCCAGAGCAAACTAGGTTAAGCAGCAGCCGAACCGCTCGCTCACAACTTTAACGCCAGTAGCTCACAAAGTAGAATTTTTGCTCACAGGACTCCACAGCTTAGAGGGAACGCGTTGCCAACAAGCGGGGAAGTTCTTGTGTCAGGACCCACAGCCAAACAACGAAGTACACGCTTCCAGGAAGGTTTTACTTTTATTGAAAAGCCATAGATGCAATAACACGAACACTGTTAGGAATGGCGGGCTACCTGTGCGCATGATAGGATATAGGGCATTCGTATGGCCCCCCCTCCCAGCAATACCCAATTAGGTGGGTTCCCGCGCATGGACAATGGCGAGAGTCTCTAACAGTAGCGAAGCTGGGAACCAGAACGATCCCACGGAAGGTAGACAACACAACTCCTCCAGTAACTCTTAATAGATAAGCACAGGGGTCATTTCCTGCAGGAGCGCACAAGAGCGGAGCTCCGGCAGTAAAGAGCCCAGGGGGCGGGCACATGCAACAAGCCCCACCCCCTGCTCCCAGCAGCCCTCAGTCAGAGCAAGAAGCAGCCAGGTAAGTTGCAGAGCCCCCCCCCCCCGGTCCAAAACAGTCCAGTGGCACCTTTAAGAACAAGTTTTATTCAGGTACAAGCTCTCCCTCCTCTGCGAGGACAGATCTGCACGTCCTCCCCCCAAAAAAAGCTAGCAATCCAAAACAGTCCAGTGGAGCCTGAGTGGTGGGGGTTGCCTTCTGACACACTTCCAGGGATGTCAGGGGGAGTGGCATATGCAAATGAGTTATGCTAATGAGTTATGCTAATGAGCTCCTGCCCCTCTTTTTCTACGAAATGACCCCTGGATAAGCATTGCAGCTGTAAAGTGATTAAGCGCATGGGAAGGAATGCAAAGC